AGAAGTTTTTCTTGTTGCCCTTGATGTCCCTGGCCAGATTTAACTCTATCAGGGCTTTAGCTTTCCTAACCTGATCTCTGGTTGCTCGGACAATCGCTCTGTATTCTTCCCAGGCTACATGTCCTTGCTGCCACCCTCTATAGGCCTTCTTTTTGTGCCCAAGTTGGTCCAGGAGCTCCTTGTTCATCCATGCAGGCCTCCTGGTGTTCCTACCTGACTTTCTCTTTGTTGGGATGCACCGCCCCTGAGCTTGGAGGAGGTGATCCTTGAATATTAACCAGCTTTCTTGGGCCCCTCTTCCCTCCAGGGCCTCTTCCCATTGTACTCTAGCAAGGAGATCCCTGAAGAGGCCAAAGTCTGCTCTCCTGAAATCCAGGGTAGTGAGCCTGCTGTGCACCCTCCTTGCTTCTCTAAGTATCTTGAATTCTACCACTTCATGATCGCTGCAGCCAACATGATCGAACAGCCCCAACTCTCTCAGCCTGTCTCCATAGCAGAGGTGCTCCAGCCCTCAGATCATTTTCGTGGCCCTCCTCTGGACTCGCTCCAGCAGCTCCATGTTGAAGTTGGGGATTACTGGGACATCAAAATGCATGTAAACAGAGTGGTTACAAACGTTAACACTGGCTTACTGTCTAGGAATGGTTAATACATATTATCAATCCTTTGATAGTTAGGAATTCAGTAAGATCAAAGTAACATTTCTAAAAGATGACAGGTTTTTAAACTTTTTTTCATGTTTAGTTGTTGGGAGTGAGTTTGGGATTTTTAAATTTGCACTTCTTGGGTTTTGGCAGGTAAGGGACTAATGAGTTATTAGGCCTCTTTAAATAACGGTGGAGGTGTCACCTTGAAATACCTCCTAATGAAAATACTGTCAGGGCAGAACAATTATGTCCCCATTTATAATCAGAAAATGCCTTACGTTGGTGACCATATTAATTAACGTGACTTTAAACATAAGTTTGACTTAAGTATTAGTGCACAAGTGCAAAGTCTAAAGGAAGAACAGTTTGGTGCAGTTCACACTCCCACTGAAGACATGTACTGAAAACGTCCACAACCTTCTCATCCTGGTGGCTCCTCTGAATGCTGTAATTGTACTTCATGCTTCAAATCTGTTGCTGATTTATTTTTTTTCTTCTCTGTTCTCTTTCAGAAAGATGAGGTGTACCTCAACTTGGTGCTGGACTATGTTCCTGAAACAGTATACAGAGTTGCCAGACATTATAGTCGGGCCAAACAGACACTCCCTATGATTTATGTCAAGGTAGGTAACTGATAGATGTGGTTAGATGGAGAAGGTATTGTAGGAATTGACTCTGTGAATACCTCTTTTCTGACATAATTAGCTTTCTGACATTTTTCAGAGCATGTACATCTTGAGACAAGGAAAAAAAAAAAGATTACGCTTATTATTTGTTAGGAAGATTAGAGGCTTAAAGCAAGCACTCCCAATTTCTCGCTTTACAAAGATCTTGCAATGGTTCGGGGAGACCAAGTGTGAGGGAGTGTTTTGGTTTTGAAGCAGCTTAAAGACTGACACCAGCCAGATGAGCAGCTTCCATTTCCTGAGATGACGAAGAACCAATAGTACAAAGGTCAGGAACCGAAAGAGGATGTCAGGAAGAATACTGTTCTCTTATCTGTTATCTTCCCCTTTTCGTGGCATATGAGTAAGAGCTCACGTGCTTCTGTTGTGGGCATGAGAAGCGTGGTTTTGTCTCCACTTGGAGCTCATTGCCTCTTGTCTTGAGTAAGTACCTGGAGTAAGATGCTTGTACGCACGTTGTAGCCTCAAAACCTCACTGAAGTTGTCTGCATCTTTTGTTGTCTTTTACAAAGTGGTTAAAAAGAATAAAACTGCTCTTTTTTTTTTGTCAAACGTGATCCATCTGAGTCTCATAGTTCCATTTCATATGTTTTGGTGACCACAGTCCACATGCTAGTCAATGATGGTGTTTTCACAGGGCGTTAAATTGTTAAGGTGGCATCGAGGTAACATTACATGGAAATTAGCAACAAATGTTACTAATTTGTATTGATTTCTCCAGACTCCTCTTTAAAAGTGTAATTCTTAACATGAGGGTGGGCTTAAGAAAAAAAACTTCAATTTGATTGAAAGAAGATGAAAGTTACAAAGATGAAGCTGCAAATAGTAATTATTCCAATAATGCAGTGTTGTGCCGTAACTGTACATGCCTAGGTTGTAAATGACATGTCTCCACCATAGCCAGCACTGGCACATGTTTTTAGGAAAGCATGGAATTATATCATCCAGCAGTAACAATTTCTGCTGCAGGGTCGCTCTGTTTGGTCTGTTCGTGGAACAGCGTGTCTTCAGGTTACATGCTCCCAAAAATCTGCTAGCTTAACTTTTGATGAATTGTTTATATATTTTTTGTCAGTACTCTTGCCCTAATTGCTCTTCATTATGGGAACCCCTGAAAAATTGCCCTTACTTATACTTGGAGAGAAAATTCTGCTTCAGCTCTTTCATCTTGCTAGATGCTTGGGACTTCCCGTTCCAGGTAGCTTGGAAGGCTGTTCTTACATTTCTGGCAAGGCAAGCCTTTCTCATAATCCTGCATTTAAAAAAATCATATTACCTTGATGTCACTAAAACTTTTGCAATTTTCCAGACATCTTGGCTACACAAAAGTCAGATCATACCTATTTGTTGACTTCTGATTGATATCTAGGTAGGCAGAGAGCTGCTCTTCCCTGGGTAACAGGGAAACTGTTGAAGAACTGGAGGGAAGCTTTTCTAGTCATCTTTTTGTTAATTTTTATTTGTAACTTCAAACATGCGGTAAGAAATTCTTGGAAATTTAGAGTTTGCTGTGTGGAGATGAAAAGGCATTCTTTCTAAATCCCACGTGTGTTGACTTGACTCCTCAACTTAGAGCAATCTTCTACATTATTTTGCAATACACTTGCACAATGCATACTCAACGTGTTTAGAGCAGGCGATTCAGAAAACATGTTTGTTTGCTCTCCTTTATTCAGGATTATGGTTTTCAGAAACAAATATGAAAACTGAAGACCTAGAGCCAAAATTCAGATGATCCTTCTCCCGCTTGTACTTTCCCTGCCAAACAAACAATAAAAAACACAGGAGAGAGAAAGCGTAAAGTCAACGATAGTGGTGAAAGCGAGGCAAACATGACCTGATACCAATATCTGGTGATTGCACCTGGTTTTACAGACTGTTAAAGCTGAACTGTGGAGAACATGCTTAGGGAAAGCATGGAAGTGCATCTCTGGTACAGTGTCCTGCCTGTAGCTTGATGTTAAATGGAACCTTGTGGGGGACACGACAAAGATGATAAATAACCTGGCAGCCTGTTGTCAACCTTGGAACAGGGTTTCCCATGCCTTTATGACTGCGTATGCTTTACAGCCCTAATTGTATCCAGCAGCTCTTTACTCTCCATAGCGGAAAGCGTGTAGCTCCAGCTTGCCCTGTGAAGCTCTTGGCTTCGTAACATCTCCCTTTGTTGTGTTCCTCCTTGCTATGCCTTGGAAAGGGAGCAGAGAGGACTCTCCCTCAGCATACTTGTTTGCTGTGCCTTGCATAAAATTATTCCCAACAGTTGTTTTTAATCTGCCTTCTCTTTTTGCCCAGAGATTTGAAATTGAGTCTGTCCCCTCACCAAGAGAAACTTCAAGATTCACTCGAGTGACAGGCTGAGACACTACCATAGACCTTGGGCAGCATTTAGTATGCTGTTAACTTCATCAACTAAAGGGTTTTCTTGGAGTTTTTGAGGGGGCATTTTCTTTAGGGTTCTTCTGTTTTTAGTAACCTGGAATACTTCTTTTCTATGAAGAGGCTGATTTATAAAGCAAACTGAAACACCTTTATTTTGTATGTGTTTTTTATGATTTCCATTATTTATAAATGTTGGAAAGCTGGCACAATTATTTTTAGAATTGTGCTCATTTTTGAAAGGACAAATGAACAGATTTGAACTGCATGTGTGGGTATATGGCAAAGGGTTGATGGGGAAGGCATGTAAATACCTTGCTCATCTTCATAGCACTAATACGTGTTCAGTAGGGTCTTTTTTGTGATTTTGTTTTTCTTCTAATAAGAGTTTGTGCTAAATTAATTGTTTTCCCTGTTTTGACTGGGAAAGCATGCCTCATGCAATGTTTCTGTGTTCCAGTTGTACATGTATCAGCTGTTCCGGAGTTTAGCCTATATCCATTCCTTTGGGATCTGCCACCGGGATATAAAACCACAGAACCTCTTGCTGGACCCTGATACAGCTGTTCTAAAACTCTGTGACTTCGGAAGGTAAGCGCATTTGTGGCCTGAAACCTGGTGAAAAGAGCTTCCTTCAAAGTGAACCTGGGCACTACTTTGCAAAGAAATCCTCTGTATTCCTCAGAGGGTTTCGTTTGTAGTTTTGAAGGAGAAATTATTGATGTTCTGTTTTCCTCTGAAAATGAGTTCATATAAGAGGAGAGGGGAAAAAAGGGCTGGAAAAGGATATCAAGTGAGAGGGAATTAAAAGTTCAAGCCTGTAATTTATGCAGATATTAGAAAAATAAAATAAATATGCTGTCACATAGGGAAAATACCACAGCATGGAAAAATACAACCAAATATTAGGGTGAAATGTGTTTAGGGAAAAGAGGACAGGTACAGTGGCATAGTAACCTAAAAAGGCTAATATTACACTTCATTAGTCTACTAATGTACACCAGTTCACTTAATATTTCAAATACTGTAGAGACTCAAAGATCAGAAGCAACACTTCTAATCGAAGCTCTTATTGGACATCTGTATCCTAGTTTCCAATGGCACATTTATTTCCAGTATCTGTTCCAGTGAATCCCCTTTAGAATCCAGCCCCCATCCTAGAACTGATACAGAAATTCCGAGAATCCACACTGAGACAGGAGGCAGATTTCTCTCCGAGAGAGTTAAGTCCTTAGACTGTTCTGTAAGTTTGCAGACTAAAATAGTTAGGGCGTATGTGCGAGAGGTCACGGAAGCTGCTGCTGCTAAATTTCACTTGCCTGTAGTGAGTGGAAATGTCAGATCGTGGTTATTCAAGCAGTGCATCGTCATGCCTGGTCGGTCGGGAATCTCCTTCTCACTCTACCTCACCAATACTGGAGCAAAATAGGAATCGCACTGAAAGTCAAAATGCACAAAAAAGTGGTACTTCCTCTGTCTTAATAGTGGGAATTTGTTAACTATAGTTTCTTTATAGAAAAAAGAAAACTTCCTAGAACATGCCAAGTGGGTTATGGGAGTCTTTCTCCTCTGAAGGCTGAGAGGAGCGTCTGAAAAGCTGGACGTTGGATTTGGCTGGCTTGGGTTTGGTGCCACTTAGTTGAATATCATATTTCTGAAAGGGCAGTTTTGTCTTCCAGCTTCTTTCTATCTGACACATGGTGTTAATTAAGAAAGAAGTGTAATATGTTCATAGACTCATGTTCTGAAAGTAATTGTACTCTTGTGTTCCTTTATTTTCTTAGATTCTTCCAAAGGTAGTGGTTGAGGCAGTACTGTAGGTTAGAACCTTTGTGGCTGATCTCTTGCAGTATACATGAAGCCTTCGTCTTAATCATGGACTTCTTACATATGGCAAAGTGGTTTTCCTTTGTCTCCTCATACCACGTTTCCTTAAACAGGAAAGAGCCAGAATATTCTGATGAAATTTAAAAAAAAAAAAAAAATTTTTTTTAAAAAATGCTCTCGGTTCTGTTATGTACCCAGAGCTTTTGAACCTTTAAAAGGTAACTGCGTTTGACTGAACTGTATTCTGTCCTCTCTTTCTTAGTAAATAAACTTTCTGTACCTGGCAAAAGACAACTGCCAGCCAAAAATTGGACCCTATTAGTCACCTAGATTGTAGTCAGAATTTCCTTTGCTATGGCCAATATAAGGTGACCTTTTGATGGATTGGACTGGTTTCACGGTAAGTTGTTGAGTCTGTAGCTTGCGTTAGCTTAGAAGAACATGGTACTTCAGCATTTAGGAACTGGAGGTGGGTGAAGAGTGCCGAAGCTTGAATGTTGGTCTGCACTGCAATACCGTCAAAGTGTTCATTACTGAAAGGTTATCATTTTGTTTCCTTTCCAGTGCGAAACAGCTGGTTCGTGGAGAACCTAATGTCTCATACATCTGCTCTCGGTACTACAGGGCACCAGAGTTGATCTTTGGAGCCACCGATTATACCTCCAGTATAGGTATGTACATGTATTTGTTGAAACCTATGCCAACTGCACGAGTCTTTATTCTGTAGTTAAGTGTAAAGGATTCCAGAAATCTTGGATACGATGCCAAGACACATAATTTTATTCTAAGTAGTCAAGTACCACTTCTTAATGAAATACACAGATTTTGTAGGTGGCTGCTGGGATTTCTATGCCTTTTGAGATTTTGGTATCGATTGATTGCATTAGGAAAGGGGCTTTTTTAACGTATGGGGGGAAAGCCTGGTTTAAAACAAAACGTTTTCTACCTATCCAGGTAATTTTGGCTATTTAGTTTAAAAGTAGGTATGAGATCTCAAGCCAAAAAAGCATTTGATGGCTTAAAATAACTGTAAAGAAGGATTGTGGAAATATGAACTGCTGCATCTGATGTGCTATGATTAGACACAAATAATTCTGTTACTTATTTACTTGGCTTTTAGTAAAGCATTTTTTAGTGGGAGAGAAAGTGTGGCCTGTTGATTGGCTTTAAAAGCTCTTGACAGTTTCAATATATTGCATACAAGCAGTGGTCTTTCTGATTCAACTTACTCTGACTTCTGCTGTCCTTAATTTTGAACACAAAGATGACTTCTTTCTAATACCTGGCACGTAACCGTGTCATGAAAGTGTTAGGGAAGCTGGACGTTTTGGCGGAGGACAGGGAATAGCTGGGTTTTCATACAGTGGAATCATAAAAATAAACAGCATTGTGTTGGCTGATTATGGGTAATTTCTTCAGTTTTCTAGTCAAGATATTCCCTGAGCCCTTTCTGAAAGCTGGTGCTAAAGATATGAGATTTGGCTCTCAAGTTCCCTGATACTGTGCTAAGCTTCTACCGTGCTTATAGCCTGGGGTCGCTTAGGCAAGGTGTAGTATGTTCAAAAGGATTTGCAGACCATGATCAAGTCTTGGCAGAATATGTTTATAACCCGTTAAAGTGTGTTTAATTTTAGTATGTTCTAACTGGTATTAAACTCACTGACTGGCTGGTTTCAACTCTGTAGCTCTTTGAAAATAGAAATGTACCTGAAGACTTACCTGCTCTTGTTAATTTTTCTTTTCCAGTTGTTATTCTTCAGTATGTATTGTAGCAACACTCACATGTCTCCCCTGCTATAAAAAAAAAGGCAGAACCATAAGAAGTCTGAGGAAAGTACTGGCACAATAAAGATAAAAAGGCAGAACTTACTTAATGGTTGGCTACTGCCAAAAGTGGCAGCCCTAGCCCTACTCCTTCTTGCCACTGGATACCTTGGCTCTCATGGTTTGCTGTTTAATACACCCATTTGGCTTCAATTGACAAGAGAATTTATTGTGGTTAGGTTAACTTTCTGCTTTTTTGGTAAATTGAACCGATGTTACTGTGCAGTCCGATAAGCAGTAGAGCCCTCAGAAAAGCAAAGCGGCGGGAGCTCATGAGTGAGAGGAAGGCAGCTGATCCTGGTTGGCATCTTTTTGCCAGCTGAGAGCTAATAGATTGGCTCCACTATGTTATCAGAATGCACTGAGACAACTTGTTTCGGAGGATAACGGCATAAACCAAATATTTTAGGTGTCACCAGAAGAGACTGCTTTGTAGATATGTCTGTGAAACGTCTCGTGCTCCAACTGTATAATGACTTTAGTTTTGCACTTTTTCGCAGAGCTTTTCTAAAGTTTTGTTTTCTTATCTACTGATCTCTAAAATAGTTACGATAAATCAGTCATTCTAAATTGAGGACTCCGTTTTCCATTTGCCAAAAACATCATTAATTTCAATTATTGTGGTTCAGACTTTCTCACACCCCCCAAAAATCACTGTCCCCCAAGCCCCTTCCCTGAACACATCAGTCTAAAGGAAACTTTACACAGAGTAGCTTGAAAATGGAAGTTGGGCAAATACACCTGCCTTCCTGCCCTTTCCTCTCTCCACTTCCATGTCAACAAAGTCTTTGCATTTGGATGCTGGGAAGTAATAAAATGCTTTTACAAACTTACTTTCTGTTTCCCAGTGTTCTGCAATATGTTATAAATTCCAAGGGTTTAGTTTTGTGATGCTGGTGCTTCCAAGGATGGTAAATACTGTGGTATTCCTTAGTTCTTGCTTCATGAGTAGCAGCAGTGCTTAGTGAGAACTCTTCCCTAATTCACATAGGATTACTCATCCAGACTCAAACGGCAGTGTTTGTGTACCAACCAAGGAGCACAGACAGGTTTCTTAAAAGAAAGGGAGAGGAAAGAATATTTAATTATCAGTAATTTATCCATAACTCAAACTATAGGAAACCATGAAATGCTTCAGTATTGTAATACTGCATTTTAAACCTTTTTTTTTTTTAATATAGACATGCTTGCATTTTCTAGTTGCTGTTTTCTTCTGAACTATTAGCACAGAGTCTTTTCCTGCTCCAGTCTTTTTCTCTGTATAGGAATTCACATGGAGGCAGGGGGGTAACACAAACTGAGCTTAAATGTGATTTAGAGATCTTCACTCTTCTGTTAAATATGCTATGTTAAAACCACATTAAAAATAAAATCAGAGAAGACTATGAAGCCAAAAAGTATTCTAAGTACAACTCTTTCGTACATTATCTGTGAGGCATCCAGCTGTTTTCCTGAGGTTTTTTATTTGCTAACATTACTGCAAGGCTTATGATTGTAACATGCTGCAATATAGTAATTATTGGAAATATTTCTGAACAAGAAGTGCGTTTTAAACTGTTGTGGTTTAGCCCAGCTGACAACTAAGTGCCGCACAGCTACTCGCTCACCCACCCCCAGGGGATGGGGAAGAGAATTAAAGGAGAAAAGGGAAGGAGGCCTGTGGGTTGAGATAAGAACAATTTAATAATAATTAGAATATGAAAACATATATGTGTGTGTATAATGATAATAATATATACAAACAAGTGATGCACAGTGTAATTGCTCACTACCCAGTGACCAAGGCCTGTCCCGTCCTGGCAAATGATCCCGAAACAGCTAAGTACTGACAAGGCAATCCCAGATGAGCGAGAGACTCAAGAAGAGAATAGGAGCGAGAGGTTGTCTGGCTTCCTCTAGGTTGTCTTGTAACACACACATGAATTTGTCCTTGCAACATTACTTTTCAGGGTATCAGAAACTAAAGTTGGTTCCAGGATGTGTCTTTTCATCCTGGATGTCACAACAGAACTGCAGACTGGCTTTTAACTTGTAGGATCTTGTTTATTTCATCAAAGTGCATGACTTAAATTCAAACCCAAAAGGGCCCTTTATAAATAACTCTCAGCCAGGGGTCGTGTTTTTTGCGCTTCTGTAAATTACTGCATTAGTGCTGTATGTAAATATATATGCTAGTAAGAATAGCATCAAAACACCTTTTCTGCAGTTAGTGCCTCTGTGTGTGTCATCCAGCGGACCTGGGACTATTATTAAAATAATGACCTGGGAAATGACCTATTCAAGTTTTTAACTAATCCCTGTTGCCACATAGCTACGAATGGAGGTCTGTCGTCTGCCTGCGTTACAACTTCAAGGGGTTTTTCAGTGGTCAGGCACCAGCACTCGTGCCACTTGGGTGCCTTTGTAACTTGGACAGTTTGGGCCCTCATGCACCCTTGACAATGAATTGTCATTGACATGAATTGACATGAATTGTCATTGAACCTCATGAAGTTCAACAAGGCCAAGTGCAAGGTCCTGCATGTGGGTCAGGGCAAATCCAAGCACAAGTACAGGCTGGGCAGAGAATGGATTGAGAGCAGCCCTGAGGAAAAGGACTTGGGAGTGCTGGTGGATGAGAAGCTCAACATGAGCCAGCAATGTGCGCTGGCAGCCCAGAAAGCCAACCGTGTCCTGGGCTGCATCCAAAGCAGCGTGGGCAGCAGGTCGAGGGAGGGGATTCTGCCCCTCTGCTCTGCTCTCGTGAGACCCCACCTGGAGTACTGCATTCAGCTCTGGGATCCCCAACACAAGAAGGACATGGAGCTGTTGGAGCTGGTCCAAAGGAGAGCCACGAAGATGATCTGAGGGCTGGAACACCTCTGCTATGAAGACAGGCTGAGAGAGTTGGGGCTGTTCAGCCTGGAGAAGAGAAGGCTCCGGGGTGATCTTATTGCAGCCTTCCAGTACTTAAAGGGGCCTACAGGAAAGCTGGTGAGGGACTTTTTACAAGGGCGTGTAGTGATAGGACAAGGGGCAATGGCTTTAAACTGAAAGAGGGCAGATTTAGATTGGATATAAGGAAGAAATTTTTCCCTCTGAGGGTGGTGAGGCACTGGAGCAGGTTGCCCATAGAAGTTGTAGATGCCTCATCCCTGGAAGTGTTCAAGGCCAGCTTGGATGAGGCTTTGAGCAACCTGATCTAGTGGAAAGATGTCCCTGCCCATGACAGGGAGGTTGGAACTAGATGATCTTTGAGGTCCCTTCCAACCCAAACCATTGTACAATTCTATGAATTCTGCAAGGGTGTGCATGTTCCTGAGGTTTGCTGGGGATAGCGCATAGTTTTGTTCCTGCAGCTCATTTGTAGGAGGTTTGGATTTTTTTTGCAAACCAAGCCCTTCAGCGATCCCTTGACAGCATTTTGGCCAGAGCTTCTTCCTTGCAGGTCTGGGTGTGTTACGCCATCCCAGAGCATGTTGCCAACATGCTGCCTGCTGAAAAACTGTGGGATGGCTGCCCACGTTCCCCAGCAGTGTCCTGGGACAAACGCAGGTGCTGGAGCAGGGATGGATGCAGACATTTCTGTTGCCGTGTGATCGTCTTACATAGAAAGAAGCTGTGCAGTTAAGCTTTACACCCAGAACATGCGTTTTTTTTTTTACTAGGTTAGGTGATGGGGCAGTGGAGAGCTCATGAGAACGGGGCGATGCTTCTGGATAACAAGGATCTGCTGGTCTTGGTGCGTTTTCTCTGGTAGGAATTGAGAGCATTCCAGAGGGAAAACTTAGAGGCACTGGCAGAGAAAGATTAATCTCTGTGACTGTTTTGCTGGCTTCTCTTGGGGCGTCCAAAAATAAGTATCACA